GAGTCCTTTAAACATTTCTGCTATTTCTGCTTTAGTAGGCATCTGTGAGCTCTCCTCTTGTTCTTCTATTTTATCCATATCCACTTCTTCATCCATATGTTGACTACTGCTAGCTATTCCCAGGGATAGTCTGGAACGTTCCCCACCGTTTTCCCTCTTACACTTATTCCCTGTTGTCTCTCTGGAGTCTGTTTCTTCTGTGAGGGTATATATTTTTTAATTGACCCTGTTTGGGAAGCCTTAGTCCCTCCTCCCTTTGATACTTTGTTTTTCATGCTGTCAGGGACTATTTCAATTTTCCGCAGTTCTAGTTTTGAGGGGGGGGAGGCCTATTTTTGATTTGATATCAAAATTTGTTGTCTTCCATGGGTATCCCCCTCTCAGTTCTTTTCTTCCTTTTTCCCTCCCCCCACTCCTGAACTCATCTACCCGAGTCCTCTTCTTTTTAGGTCTTTATCTGTTTTACATTGTCCTCCTTCTGATTTTCCTCTAAGACCCCCCTGGCTGAACCCCTCCTCACTTTAAAAACACATAGTTCAATACATGCAGTTCAGTTCCCCCGTATGAGATCTCTGTCATATATGAAGAAAAGGGCTTCTCTGAAAAACATTTCCCGCACTCCGAACAGGTATACAACTTCTCCTCCTTGTAAGATCTCTGATGTGTGTGAAGACTGGGCTTCACTGAAATGTATTTCCCATACTCATGACAGACATATGGCTTTTCACCTGTGTAAAATCTCTGATATATATAAAGTCCAGACTTAGCTGAAAAAACATTTCCTGCACTTAGAACAGGGATATAGCATCTTCCTCATGTGAGGTCTCTGATACATATGCAGACTGGACTTCTGTAAAAAGAATTCCCGCACTCTGAACAAGGGTATAGCTGCTCCCTTTTGTGTTATCACTGGCATGTATAAAAATAGGACTCACATGTAAAACATTCCCCCACTCAAGACAGGTATGCAACTTCTCCCCCGTGTAAGATCTGTGATGTGTGTGAAGACGAAGCTTCACTGAAAAGTGTTTCCTGCACTACGGACAGACATATGGCTTGTCATCTGTGTTAGATCTCTGATGTATGTAAAGTCTAGTTTTGTCTGAGAAAGCATTTCCCGCACTTAGAACAGGGATATAGCATCTTCTTCATGTGAGGTCTCTGATATATATGCAGACTGGACTTCTGTGAAAAACTTTTCCGCACTCTGAACAAGGGTATGGCTGCTCCCTCTTGTATTATCACTGGTATATATAGAAATAGGACTTACATGAAAGACATTTTCCGCACTCGAATCAGGAATACTTCTCCCCCATGTGAGATCTCTGGTTTCTATTGGATTGAGCTTCTCTCTGAGAGACTTTTCCGCACTTTAGGACAACTCTTTCTGTACTCCAAGTGAGGGGTAAGGCGGCTCCAGGCACTCTCTTCTGGGGAACATTGCACTCGACATTCCCCTCACACAATGAGTGGATTGCAGGGGGGGTTCACCCAGCCCGTTTCCGCGTGTCTCCAGCTGCCACGGTCCTATGTGCAGGAGGAAGAGAGCCGGCGTCTCCCTTACTCCAAGAAACGCCGGCCGGCTCCTCTGCCTCTCAGAGCTCCCTTGCGGCAGATCACCTGATCGCCCGGCGTCCACTGAGCTCCGGGGAACACACAGCGCCGGGCTGAAAGCACAGGAAGACCCGCTGTGATGGCCGCCACTCCCAGAGGTCCTCGTTCCACGTACCCCGCCAGGCAAGCCCCCCCTCTCCCCGGTTAGTTTCTCTCCAGGGCTTCCCGCACATCTCCCCTTCTCGGCAGAACACTGGAGGTGCTTGGGAGTTGCGAGCCCTCACATTGAGCTTTCACGCCAAGCCATGGTCAGGCTCCTTCCTCCAATGGGCATCGCCTCAAAAGGCTGCTTCTAGGCAACCCATAGACACATGCCAAGAATGGGATTTAATCAAATAATTGTAGACATAGATTCTTGGGCTCCAACTTTGTCTGAGATACTGACTCCAGATGCTTCACAATATAGCAGTTTTGTTGAAAAATGCAGACAATTGACATAAAAACATTAATGATCGATACTATAGTCTAGTGCAGCCATTCCCAACCAAGGTTCTGTGCAACCATAGGGTTTTTATACAGGTTGCTAGGGGTTCCTTGAACTGTGCTGACTAACCTCCCATTTTATAGAGCCTGCATAGTTACAGGGCCACTTTGCAAAGCCAGCTGCACGACACCCATTATTGTGTTAGCGGTCTGTAAGCATAGCATTCTGACCACCAGTGTTAAGGGGACATTCTTCCCATTAGCCACCAATGTAACAGGTATTTTCCCCATTTACCACCAATGAACTGATTTTAGCAAGTGTTCCCCAAGACATTCTGGGGTAAAAAGGTTCAGAAAGGCTGCTTCTGTGGAACATATGTGAAAGAGTTAAATGCTAACAAGACCAAACTATATACAAATGTTTGAACAGGAGAGTAGAGTAAAGGAAGGAACCATTTGAATCAGGGCAGTAAGGGTATGCAGGGAAACTGGTAACGGTAGCAGTACAAGTTAAGAAAGCTCAAAGTAGGTTCAGGCAAAATACTGTGGCACTGATAATGAGGACATGTGGAGCTAAATAGTCTCCCAGCAGTTAACATCAAACAATGACTAATTATTAATTTCTGCTGACTTTTGAGAGTCAACCGCTAGTGGACAATGGGACTGCATATGCCCAGGAGCCACAGTGTCACCAGCAGGTAACCTACTTGCTTTGATATCCCTGACAACAACCTTACACAGGGTTTTTTGCTTTTACCTCATTCTGTATAATATATTAGTCAGGACTATTTTTCAGCGGGGATGCAGGGGAATGCAGTTCCGGCACCTCCAGTACTGAATGTAAATGTTGGCAAGGAGTATCGGGGTGTGCTGGAGGGTATATTAATGCTGGCTGCTGTGGAGAGTAGTATTGCTGGGGGTGATCCACTGCTGTGAGGGGGGGTCTTATGATGCTTGGGGCTATCTACAGTAGAACTGGGGGTCTATTTTTGCTGGCTGCCGAAGGGTCTATTGATGTTGGCTGCTGGAGGATCAATTGTTGCTGGGTGGATCTATTGCTGCTGGTGGAGGATCTAATGTTGCTGTAGGGGTATTTTGTTCCTGGGAGAGTGTATTGTTGCTGGGGAGGAGCTCTTGTTGGTGTGGGATGTATTATTGTTGCTGAGTTATTTTGTTCCTGGGGGGTTCTGTTGAACCTGGGGGGGTTCTATTGTTGCTGGGGGAGAGGCTATTGCTGTGGGCTGCAGGGGTTCTACAGTCACCCCCTGCCTTTGAAAGCTCAGAAAAACTGTGTAAATTCTGCACTTTAAAAAGATGTAGAGAAGAGATGGCTGCAGATAAACAGGTACAATTTATATAGGAGAATTAGTTTCACCTCTGTGTATCACCTGAAGCTAGCCACTTTATTAGGTACAGTAAATCACTGCTTTTCTCGTGATCACTAACAAATTTCATACATATTACTTAGCACCACAAAATGATACTTGGCTCTGTATTCTCTAAAGGGGGCGATACGGAGAGGTGGGCAGGGGGATTAGACAAGGAGTGACTTGGGGGAGGGGGAAGGAGTACCTGTACTTATTACCATTATGTACCCAACCCCCCCACCCCCCTTCCAGTGGGTTGTGTCAACAAAAGGCGGCACTTACACAAAATAGGCAGATTGGCATGCATTCTGCTCTACTCGAAGAGGTTTGGCATTCCTGGGCCAAGGAGGAAGATGGGGATAACTCTGAAGCCTATACAGGGCAAGTAAAGCTTGGGCACTATTTTTTTTAATATGGCATGTAGGCAGTTGCAATTAGCCAACTCAGCTGTAGGTGGTCTAGTGCCTTTATTGCATGGGATTGGGGTCTCATAAGGGAGGTCCGTTAGAGATTCCGTACAGTGCCTTGAGAGAGTAAGGTAGTCTGATTGGACATTTAACATTTGAGAGCCTTCAGTGGCCATCTTGGATGAGGGATGCTTTTAAATAAAGAACCCCATGTAATTTTGGCGTGCTTCTGGAGAGTGTGTAATAATGAGAGGAAACCACTTGTGAGGGATAGTGTTTAGTACATGGTCAGGTTCAGGGGCGGACTGACCATTTGGAAACTCGGGCACTGCCCGAGGGCCCGGGGTCAGTAGGGGGCCCCATGAGATGCCCCTGGTACCTTTTTCATAGGCTTTTTTGAGTTTGGGCAAGGACACAGGAGCCCCATGATCCCCTATTGCCCGGGGGCCCCATAAGTTTTCAGTCCGCCCCTGGTCAGGTTCCAGACAAGGAGGGATAGCTCAGGAAGGCTCCTTCTTCTCTGCAAATACTCCAGTATGCAATGCAGAGGCATGTAGCCAGTGCAGACTTCAGAAATATCCTCTGCCTATTAAAAAAAAAAGGGACACTTTATGTGTAATTGATAGCCCCTGTGTGGGCGTGTGTTGTTGCTCCTGTCTTAAACTGTTTATAAATTAATAAAAACATTGAAATACAAACAAAAGGGACACTACCGCCGGTAAAAGAAACCATTGATTGCATATTATCTGGATTGGATCTACTAAAGGAAAGTTTATCGGTTGCTGCAACTAAGACTCTGCAAGATTTATAGAAAAGACATCAGTGCGCTATCCACTGTCTATGAGTATTTTCTTCCAATTCAAGGTATCTAACGCAGCATCCGCCTACAGGTGATGAATGGAAAAGAAAGTGGGAATTCTCCTTTAGATTCATTCTCTTTGTATTGTGTTGAAGTGCTATAACCTATTATTTTTTTATACATAAAGACATATGCATGCAGAGCATTCAACATGGCATTAAACAGAGACTCACTAAAGGTTGTCGTGTGTGATTTGGTTGTGATCAGAATGCGTACTGTTTGCCTTCCATTACTTGTTGTAATCTTTCAAATGCTTACTGTTTCCCTTTTGGATATGTCTGCTGGTGGGGTGAACCATTCTATGACTTTATCTATTATTCTTTTCATCAGTTTAAATCAAGAGAAAAGGGCTCAAGAGTTGCTGAAAGTATCCAGGGAGAATGAAAGCATTGAAGGCAGACTTACAAAGTGTGAACCTCAGTATAGAGTTGAAAAGTGGCATGAAGACTGGGTGAAAGCAGAGAAATACATGGATAGCATTGCGAAATACCCAAGAGGATGGTATCTTGCACATCCAGATAAGGTAGAGTATTGCCTATTTCAAAATATCAAAGCATGTTTCTCTGTATAGGGTAAAAAAGGGTTATAACCATTGTCAAGCTTTTATCACTGACTTTGCTCCTGTTCGTAAGATTTCCCCTTACTTTCTGTCTGGGTGATGAGAACAGGAAGTGCAAGGAAATCTTTCTAATGGGGACAGACAGTAATAAAACCACTTTTATAGTAAAATGCAGAAATGTTAGAACATGTGACTGGTTATTATGGTCTATGGCTTCTTTTCTCAGTGACAGCCACACATTCCTGTAAATTCTTATCCCGGTTTCACTGGCACAGCAAATGAGAGAGAATTTGTACAATCAGGGCACAAACGGCAATAAAAACTTGATATGGACAGGAAGTGATGGATATTTTTCACAATGTAAGGTGCTGAAATGCTGGAATTGGGCTAATAAATATTCAGTAAAAGTGTTTAATGATACACTAAAGCCATGGTAAGTGTATTGCTGGGATGGATAAAAAATGGGTAATAAAATAGCAAAAATGGCTAAATGGTTAGCAGTTCTGCCTGGCAGTACTAGGGTCATTGGTTCGAATCTCAACCATGGCACCACCTGCCTGGAGTTTGCATGTTCTCCCTGTGCCTGCGTAGGTTTCCTCTGGGTACTCCGGTTTCCTCCCACCTCCAAAGACATGTTGGTAGATTAATTGGCTCCTGTCTAAATTGGCCCTAGTATGTGTATGTATGAATGTAAGTCAGGGACCTTAAATTGTACATCCCTAGGGGGTTAGGGACTGATGTGAATGTAAAATATATATGTAAAGCGCTTTATAAATTGACAGCACTATAGAAGTACCTGTAATAAATAATAGCATGTTCTCCCTGTGTCTATGGATTTCCTGCGGGCACTCCGGTTTCCTCCTACACTCCAAAGACATGTTGGTAGGTTAATTGGCTCCTGTCTAAATTGGCCCTGATATGTATAAATGTTAGTTAGGGACCTTAGATTGTACACCCCTTGAGGGTTAGGGACTGATGGGAATGTACAATATATATGTAAATTGACGGCGCTATATAAGTACCTGCAGGGCTTTTTTTCTCAGAGGAAAGGTGGTGGAACTCCCCCCCACCCAAACCTGGCCAGCCCCCATCAAACCCTAGGACCACCCCTTTAGAGAACAGGAATGCAAGTAAAATTTGGGAGGGGCTTCCGATGACATCATTTCCCGTACATACCATATAAGGGAAATGATGTCATCGGACCCCCGGCGGCTGCCTCTTGCATGATCTGCATGAAACACATGCATAGATATAAAATGACTAATGTACTGACACCAGAAACACATGCATAGATATAAAATGACTAATGTACTGACACCAGAAACACATGCATAGATATAAAATGAATACCGTACTGACACCAGAAACACACGCATAGATATAAAATCAGTACCGTACTGACACCAGAAACACATGCATAGATATAAAATGACTAATGTACTGACACCAGAAACACATGCATAGATATAAAATCAGTACCGTACTGACACCAGAAACACACGCATAGATATAAAATCAGTACCGTACTGACACCAGAAAACACATGCATAGATATAAAATCAGTACCGTACTGACACCAGAAACACACGCATAGATATAAAATCAGTACCGTACTGACACCAGGAACACATGCATAGATATAAAAATCATGGCAGGCCGTTTGTAAACGTCCAGCATAGATATAAAATCAGTCTAGCATGCATGTGTACCCTGTCTGGTAGATGTGCCTGCTCCTACAGGCTCCCCTAGGGTTGCCACCTTTTCCTCCAAAAAATACCGTCCATCACTGAATTTATCTTTCCTGTTCCTCATGCACAGGAGGGGCGCTCTCGATCGGCGCCGCTGAGCGCTGAGCAATTGCGTTCTGAAATAGTTTAGGTGGGCTCAGGTGGGTGAGGATAGTTTAGGTGGGCTCAGATAGTTTAGGTGGGCACAGGTGGTTGGGATAGTTTAGGTGGGCACAGGCTGGGGAGAGAGTAAAAATTTAGAGCAATACATGATACTGCAGTCAGTGACAGGGAGCCGAGCGCAGCTTACCTACTCCAAGCTGTACGGCCCCTGCGTCCACGCTGTCACTGCCGTTGATGTCGCCGCGCCGCCCCCGATGTTTACACGCCGGCGGGGGGGGGGCGGTGAAGCGTGCATAGTGTCCTCGCCCATCGTCCGCGCCCCCGATGTTTACACGCTGGCGGTAGAGGGGGGGGGGGGGTGAAGCGTGCATGTCCCCGCTCACCGGCTGTGAGCAGCGGGCAGTGACAGGTGCCGGGCACGCGCAAGCATGACATAAACAAGCCGCGTCCGGCACCTGTCACTTTCGCTGCTCTGCATAGCTTGTCAGCTCTGCAGAGGCAGTCGGTGAGCGGGGACAAGAAGAAAAAGGTGGCGGAACGCAGTACCGCCGCGTTCCGGCAGAAAGAAAGCCCTGAGTACCTGTAATAAATAAATAACAAAATAAAAATACTTTTCTGGAAAAACACTGATCCAGGCGCCCTCTGCTGGTCACACGACCAAAACATCAAGTGATTTCTGCAGTATAGGGGAATGAGCCAAACTGAACTCCTATCCTCCCATTTAATAGAAAGCAGATGCTTAGGCTATTGGTCATGTAACAGCATTGGAGGGAGTTCGGAGCTGCAGGAAAAGTAAGTATCCCAACTGTTCTATTACTCTATCTATTCTAGCAAAACTGTTAACACATGCATTAGAGATGAACACTGGGATACAATCCAAATGCATCCACAATCTACATCTCATACAGTATGTATATTAAAAAGCTGTTAATTAGTTACAATACAACTTCACCGTTTAGCAGATGAAATATGTTTGAGGTCCTTGTTCCCATTCAGAAAAATCAACATTTCCCGGACAACTGAAGATGTTATCATAGAAGCAGATACACCACATCCACCTCCATGTGTGGTGCCATTATAAGAACCTACAATTCCTACCATGCAGTGGGAATTGTAGTGAAAGGGGGTAATATGGTGGGATTGGGGCGGTATCCTGTGAATGCAGACATAAAAAAAATAAGAAGGAAAAGAACCCTAATGAAAGAAGGTAACTTCCCTGATCCAATTAATTTGACTAATGTAACAAATTGTATTAAAGAACCAAGAAATAATGTACACAATGTGAAAAATTCACCATACAACAAAATATATATACATGCCTCCACCAATCACCATTAAAAACTTGACAATGTTGTCAATTTAAAACCAAGGAGTCCGGGCTGAAAATGACTTAAAAGGTAAAGTCTGACCATCAGCAATTCTATGTCTTAAACTTCATAAACCTCCTCTCAAATCTGGGCATATAGAATTTAACAATGTATCCACTGAAAAGGAGGTAAATGACAAGACATAGTACTGGAGGTAGCAGTTCCTTTGCAATACTGAAAAAAGACTGAATCTTGTTGATACAAAACAACATATATAATGTATCAAAACATCCGTAATACTACAAAGGGAAAGTTTATGAATGGCAGGAGCAGGATTGCAAACTGAGTAGATGTAATTATCAGATTACTGCTGGTAAATTAAGAAGTGTCAAGGCGGCACAGATAATGCTGCAGTTAGTTTTGCTCACATGCAGCACAGTGGCTAGCCTTTGGATTTTATGCAAACACAGTACATGTTCTGATCAATCCAATATAAGGCAATGCAGGTCCATGAGTTGTGGAACATACTGCTTTTAACAGTGTAGACCCAGATTGGGAAGGCAATGGAAAAACCTTTATAGGCGGTTACCACATAAATAATACACTGGCTGCAGATTCACTTAGAGCCAAACTGAACAAATGTGGATGAGACTTATTGACGCATACTGGTAAGAGTGTAAGTGCATTCTGACAGTTAGAACAGTATGGACAGATGCCCTATTATCCTGTCAAGTAAAGCCTTCAAGCAATTCAAAATTTGTGCTTCCCACTCACATGCAGGTGGCCTCAGTTGCCAGTTGTCCAGACACCACAAGGTAAATCATTCTTCCATGGTCAGATGGGATGCTGTACTCCTTCTCAGTCCCACACCAGTCACTACCTTGCAGCACGAGGGCCGCACAAGCGCAGGGGAAACTTCTCCGTACTCAGCCCTACTCCACCATAGATTACAGTGTGACGCCAGACATCAAGTCACTGTACCGAGACACTGTGATTATGAAAGCTATTGTGGACGCGTTTCACACGCTTGTTTAGATACAGGCTTCCTCAAGACCAATAGAGGGAGCGCCATCCATGCTTTAATTTATAGATTTAATTACATGCAAAATTTTGAGTAGTAGGTGGCGCCAATTACCTGCTTCAACCAACAACGTTTGATAAACATAGTAACCAGATAATCCATGTTGATACAAAGTTTACAATAACTATTTGGTAATGATACCTAAAAAATAATAAAGGTAAAGATGTGGAAAAACAGATCAACCATCAAAGCATCCTCAGCATCCAGAGGAACCAGACAGCACCAATAATGTCAAAATCACAGTTAGAAATGTCGTACCTTCACTTTTTAAGGAACACCCCTAAATTTAGTTAGTTGTTTAACCCCTCAGGGATTAGGGTGCCCAGCCTATATATCCCTCATTGCTCATGTTGGAGAAGAATTTTATCAAAGTCACCATGACGTGTGGGTAGCTTTAGGGCAAATATCCCCTTCGGTCTAAAGCCAGAGGTAAGGCCACCATGTTTCTCTTTGAAATGAAGTGCCAGAGGATTCATCTTCTCACCCTCCCTTTCTTTAGCGTTACTTTTAATGGCTCTAAGGTGGTTCACCAATGTGGAGACAGAGAGGTCTCTTGGCCTTCCCCTGTAGAACCTCCTACACGGACATTCCATCATGTACAGTACCCTCTTAGTTGAGCAATTTATGAAGCTCCAGATGTCATAAGATTTGGATCAGTCTGCATTCATGAACACCTTTGTTTTTTCAATGAAGGGGCAAACCAAACAATGTCCACATTGGAATCAT